CCCCATTACCCATAGCTTAGAATTTTATTTGGAATAGTCAACTGAATATGCAGTCACTGAAGCTGGTTGTGGAACTGTCTTCAACCTTTCAGTGTGAACACTCACTTTATTGGTCCCAGAGTCGCCATCTCTATTGTCCTGTAATGACTGACGTGGTTATCTTCAGTTCCTTGTATTTTCTTTCCTTTTTTTATATATATTTATAAATTTCTTATATTTACGTAAATTCTAGTTTTGGAAGTAGAATTCTGTAAGTCATTGGTATAACAATTCTTAAAAAAGAAGAAAGGAAGTCGCTTGTTGTGGAATGGAGAATGTAATTGATTATTTTCCTTGTCTTTTAGCATGCTTTATTTAAGATTATGATCTGCATAATCTCATGTGTTTTTGTTTCTTTCAGGCAGATAAACTTTTGTCTCCTGAGTTTCAACCTTCCATAGAGCAGCTGATACGTTTTCTTCCTGCAACTCGTCAAATTTTGATGTTTTCTGCCACATTTCCTGTTACTGTTAAGGACTTTAAAGACAGATACCTACAGAAACCATATATTATTAATCTAATGGATGAGCTTACCTTGAAGGGTATCACACAATATTATGCTTTTGTGGAAGAAAGACAGAAAGTCCACTGCCTAAATACTCTTTTCTCTAAGGTTTAACCTTATATTAACTTCTATCTAGCTTTCTCCCCTTTTCCCTTGTTTGGATGAGATTTGATATAAATTTATTTGCAGCTGCAAATAAACCAATCGATCATTTTCTGCAACTCAGTAAATCGGGTGGAACTATTGGCCAAGAAAATTACAGAACTTGGCTACTCTTGCTTTTATATCCATGCAAAGATGCTTCAAGAACATCGTAATAGAGTATTTCACGATTTCCGTAATGGTGCATGCAGGAACCTTGTTTGTACTGGTATGCCATGCTATTATGTGTGTTTTTTTTCCCTTTTGGGTATATGAGCTAATCTTAATTTGCAATTGGATTATTTAGTAAGTAATTGGTTTTGATACTGATATACTTTGTCAGGCTTGGCAACAGGTTTGTTTTCATCTTCTATTTATATTTCTTATGTTTCGCCCGACAATGTAGCTGAAGTCATCATAACCTATTATTTAATCCACTACCACTACACACTTTTCACTAATGATTGAATTTGCCTCCCTCTTGCTCGAAAGTTAAATCTATGGATTGAAGAATGATGATATATTTTAATTTAATAAATATATGGTACAATTTGAGCTATTTTTCAACCAACATGCATCAAATTTTCATTTCATTAGGATTAGTTTGTCTATAGAAGTGCAGAAAACAGTTTTACTTTATTCATAAGTATTTTGTAGTAGTCATTATTTAATATATTTTACTTGCTTCAGATCTTTTTACAAGGGGTATAGATATCCAAGCCGTGAATGTTGTTATTAACTTTGACTTCCCCAAGAATTCTGAAACATACCTCCATAGGGTATGTTACCTATCTATTTTTCTCCCTTACAACACTTCTTAACAATTATATATTCCTTTTGCCAATCCTCATGACTATCTTCTTAATGAGCAGGTTGGTCGATCAGGAAGGTTTGGTCATCTTGGATTAGCTGTGAATTTGATCACTTACGAAGATCGTTTTAACCTGTATATTGCTACATCTCTAACTGTTTTTGAAACTATAGTGCTATAAGCATTTAGGCTCTTCTGATTTGTTGAGATGTTTGCATGTTCTTCTCCAACAGGTATAGGATTGAACAAGAACTTGGGACTGAAATTAAGCAAATTCCTCCACATATCGATCAGGCTATATACTGTCGGTGAATTATGGTGGATGTTTCTTGCTTGGCCTACAGCGGTAACAATGGTGAGCAACAACCCTCTAGTCCAGTTGATGATTGGGTGCAATTGATTTCTCTGTATATTGTCATTTATCATCGATGATGTGCAATTGCTTCATGTTTGTCAGGATTAATGAAGATCTGCTTAATCAAGGTGCCCGTCCTTGCACACGGGGTGGGCTTATATATTCTGAAACACAATAGGTGGTGTTGGTGGAAGACGTTTTAGCTGGTTCTTTTATGCATGTAATCCTTGAATGCTTCATTTTTTATTGATGTGTCAGATTTCATAGTCCTGAAATGTTCACAGGATATATAGCAGACTGGGGAGAGAATTTAGACGAGTACTGCTTTTGATCTAGTTAAATTATGGTTTGGTACTGTCTGTTCATGATGGAAGCGTAGCTTGTGCTAGAAGTTTATGCTGTTTTTATTTTCTGTTGGTGCATTTTCTCTTCTAGATCTTTGCAATTTCAATGAGTAAAAAGCATCTTACATTTAATAATAGTGTTGGCTGTTGTTTGATACATCATATTTGCATTTCCAGTTTGGTTTGAACGTTTTTCTACTTTTGACATCTAAATCTGTGATCTATATAAGTAGTTCATATATCTTTTATTTTTTTATTTTTTTATTTGCTGGGGTTAAAAACTATAATATTTGAGTACCTATTTAAGTATATTATTGAATGCATGCATCCAGTAGTGCAGGAGAAATCCCATCCATGGGTTTGTATGGTAATGGTCAGGTTCTGTCATTTCTTAGATAGCGATGCAGGGCAAGGGATCGGATCCTCAAACGATTCCCACTTTCGAGGCATTCGTACGAGTTGCCCCCCCACAACTTAAATGCAAATAAATAGTTTTCCAGAATAAACATCTATTGCATACGTTTTCTTTTTCTTATATAAATGTCTCCATTTATTTCGCTCGCACTGGGTGAAAATGTATTCTTATTTTATACATTAGTTTTTTAAATTTCGTAAGAGTATCGTTTTTATTCTCGTTTTTGATACTAAATTTTTTTATTGTTAATGTATTAAATAATTATCAATAATATATATATATATATAAACTATTTTAATGATTGATTACGGGTGAGTGTATTTAGTTTTTTTTTTAGATTTGAGTTTGATTCTGAGATAATACTCTATATGTTCCATTAAAATTGACCTTTATTAACTTTTCAAAAAGTCAACTTTTTTAAATTTTGATCACAAATATTTTAAATTTTTTATAAAATATATATTTTAAAACTACTTAAAGGTTTTTAAAATATATTTTTTCTATTTTATCTACAGTAAATTTAAATAATAAAAAGTTCAAATTAAAAAAAAATCGATAAAAAATCAATATTGGATATTTTAAGTGAGACAAAAATAGTAATAGTTTTTAAGGTGAATTATTATTTTACTCAAGGAATATAATAGTGATGCGGGCATGGGAGAGGAATCAAACTCAATACATTTTATGTAAGAGTACAGATACTTAACTATTGATCTAAACTAAGAAATCATTTTAGAAAATTGATATTTAAATGAAAGAAACGGTGATTAAAGGGAGTGTTATTCTCTCTTGATATATTGGATTCGAATAATTATGTCTGCAGAGTGTGCAGTGGCGGAGCCATAGCTTGGTGAGGGTGGGCACTGAAATCCGAATTTTCTTCGATTAGTTACTTATTTTACTAATGGTGTTCACCCCGAAATTTTTCATTCCCACCATAAAATATGAGTTTTCTTCGATTAATTACTTATTTTACGGACGATGCCTCATTGAAATTTTATTTGTACTCATCCCATTTAAAAAATTTATGCTATTATGTCCACCCTGAAAAATATTTTTAGATCTGCCATTGAGAGTATGTATGTGTTCTTAATAGTTAAGAAATATTATGAACATACACCATCTTATAATCACCTTAAACTATTCAAAAAAATATTAAATTGATAAATTATTTTAATAAAATTACTATTTAAAGTAAATTAAATTTATCATTATTTGAAAATTTTGTCAAAATATTAATCCAATATTAAAGATAATTTAATATACGATCCCTATAGAAAGGGTCTAGTATTAAAAACAATGAACAAAAATGAAAAATTATAAAATGGAAGGGGGAAACGTAAAACAATGAAGAATATCTTTTAAATCTTATACATTATTTAAGGAAGATGTGGCATTAAGAACATATTTCTTCTGCATTTTTTATGCCTTTAATTGTATTCCACCTATCATTTTAAGACACGTGTCTCCTCTTTATCACTTTACTAACGTTTTTATTTTGACGGTAAAAGAATGTTAATTTCAGTAAAAAAAAAAAAGATAGTCACAAAGTTCTTTATTTCATGAAATAATTGATTCTATCAGTCGAAATTAATTTAGTTAATCAAAGCATTAGAATAATCAAAGAACTTAAAGCTCGATTAATTCCACGATAAATAAATAAAAACAAAGTTAAAACAGACAAAGAACAAACGTAGGTAGAAAATTTTAATGTAAAAACATTATCCAAGGAAGAGCTGTATTTTTCTGTGTATGAAGTTATAGATGAAGGCATGCCTAGGTCAAGTGAACACACTTCATCTGCAGATGATGAGAAGTATTTATTACACACCACCACCATCTGCTCCTCATCACATAACCTGATTTGACCTTACCCTCAAAACTATATTGTATGCATTGACCATATTTATTGTTACCGTACTTGTCTCTATTGAAATGACTTCCCTCTTGTTATTTAATTTTCTGGATGAGTTATTACACTGAGCTGCGTACATCTCATGCACGTCGGTTTCATTTGCCATTACTCCCGTTATTATTAATGTGCTCTCTCTCTCTTCTTTTATTTCTTTCCACTTGTCTGCAACTCAGAAACCACAAAAGAAGGAACCAGCCCAATCCCTTATCTTTTTTAAATCTTCTCTCAATGATGGATTTTTCAAACGTTCCTTGAATGCTGTATTCGTCAAACATAAATACATCCATACACTGTTTTGTGTTTACACCCCATATTAATTGAATTTCAGTGTTCGTGTCAGCTTGAAACTCGCTGATCGTCGTCTCTTCTATTTATTAACTTGCCTTGATAACATCAAACTCTCATTGTTTTAAAACAATCTCTTTCACCCTCTTCTTCTTCTTCTTCTTCTTCTTTTATTTGATTTTACTTCACTCCACTAATTGATAGATCATAAAGCGAGAGGGGAATGGGGAGGACGCCGTGTTGTGATAAGAAAGATTTGAAGAAAGGGCCATGGGGTCCTGAAGAAGATGAGATACTCATCAATTACATCAAGGAACATGGCCATGGAAGCTGGCGTTCTCTTCCTAAGCTTGCTGGTAATTTCATTTTTTTTGTTGATTTGATTGTGAGATTTCGAATGGATTTTATCCGATGAGGGTAATTCGTTTCACAGGTCTTCGTCGTTGTGGCAAGAGTTGCCGGCTCCGGTGGACGAATTATCTTAGGCCTGACATAAAACGCGGCCCCTTCACCGTTGACGAAGAGAAGCTCGTCATTCAGCTTCACGCCATTCTGGGGAACAGGTTTTTTCTTTATTTATTAGCTTCTTACTTTCTTGGGTAAATTCACTATTTAGTCACCACATATTCCCCGGTTCCATTTTGGTCACCCAACTATTATTATTCCAGGTGGGCAGCCATTGCTGCTCAAGTACCAGGACGAACGGACAACGAGATCAAGAACCTATGGAACACTCACTTAAAGAAACGCCTACATTGCATGGGACTTGACCCACTGACACACGAGCCGTTCACCCATTATGGCCCAACCACTGCACCGCGTTCATTTCCCACCACTCGTCACATAGCTCAATGGGAGAGTGCCAGGCTCGAAGCCGAGGCTCGTCTTTCCAAAGGGTCACTCTTCTTAGACTCACCACCTCCATTGGTTAAACCCGACCCTGACTATTTCCTACGCTTATGGAACTCTGAAGTCGGAGAATCATTTCGGAACATGAACGGAGAAACTAAAACCGATTGCCGGAGCCCGATTGCATCTTCATCGACGAAACGCGGGTCGGTTTCGGGTGTCACGGTCTATGTTTATCCCAACATGGCAGGGTCTTCGAGTACTTCAACCACAGCAAGAAATCAAATTGAGGATCGCATTGATGCATCTTTCTCTTCATTTTCGAACGAGTCGGAAGATTCATCCGACACTGCGCTGCAATTGCTGTTGGACTTTCCCATTAACAATGACATGAGCTTCTTGGAAGATGATACTACTTAGCTACAATGTTGACTGAAGTATCAACCATATGATTTGTATAAATATTTTGCCCTTTATTGCTTGGATGTTTAAGCTAATTTTAGGCCCAAATGAACTATATGGTAAGGTTTTATTGCCTATTAAGATGATGCCACCTTTGAACCCAGTTTGTTTTGTTATACATATAATATAATCATATGTAACCCGTGGAACTTTTAATGGGTACTACTAAGGGATTTACATACTATTGTGTACATCTAAAAATTTAAATTTTAATGATCGTGTTTATTTGTGTGACGTTTTCACTCATCTAAAAATAACTTATGATGTTGTCGTACGAACTTATGTTTGTATTGTGATCTCAATACGGTCATATTTTCTTCGAGTAATAGTATCTCTTGTTTTGACACTAATCGAAACAGCGTCACACCACAAGTTTATTACCAAAGTGGTAATGTTAGTCTCATTGTAGTTGTAGCGATCCGGGAAATGCTCACGTGCGACAGTCTTAATATATAGTTAAAAAAGGTATTATTGGTTTTGTTATTGTTTAAATAACAAAACCGGTAAAAAATGATCAGAAACATTATTAGACGCTATCAGTTTTGTTATTATTGGGCGTTTTACCAAATTTGGTAAAAATGACCAAAAAGATTATTAGGCGCTACCGGTTTTGTTATTGTTGGGAATTTTTACCGGAAATATTAAAAAAATTGGTGTTTTAGGTAAAAATAATGATATTTTAGGTAATTTTTTACAAATAATAACAAACCCGGTAACGTCTTATTTTAGCCTTATATTAAGGTGCCGCACTGTAGAACTTCCCGAGCGATCCGCCATCTCCGCTGTGATCAAAAGTTTATGTCGTAAAGCTTGCTAACGATGCAAGGCACGAGTCGGGTTTGGGTGGGGTTTCGGTCAATCTGATCCAATCCAAATATTTTACACCCTTCATCTGATTCGATCCGACCTGAAAATTTTATATCATCCACTCGACCCAAACTCGATCTGACTTTTTGAAATAAAATTCTAACCCGACCCGAAATAATATATTTATTAAAAATATTATTTTTGTTCAATAATATATAAGATAAAATTATGGGATTTTTCGGATTGGGTCGGGCAAGTTTTTTTGCCCGAAACCCGACACGACTCGACCCAAATATTTTTTTAAAAATCCTGTAACACCCCCACCCGTACCCGACCCGAATATGAGTTCGAGATGTCACATTAACTTTTTAAAACAATATACTTAAACAAACTAATAAAACATTTAAACTTGTATTAAGAAAATACGATATTATACATAAGTTTATACGAAGTTCACAAAATACTCAGAGCATACACAACTTAAACTTTTGGTTACATGCCAACAATGATTTACATAACAAAAGGACATACAATTTAAGTTACTTCTGATCTGATGGTTGAAGGAGTAATGTTGTCTCCACTGTCTAATCTTGCTCAGCTAGCTTCTATGAATCCTACGTGTAAAACACTTACATGCTAAGTCATTGATTTAATGAGGCATAATAATAATAATCTATAAGATCATAATATTATCATGAATGAAATATCATGCAATCTGATATATATTCAATGAAATTATCATAACTAACCATGTCACACATAAACTTATCAAAATTTTTAATCATGAATTCATATTAATAAGTTACTAGCCCATGATACAATACTGAAAACCTAAGGTATGTGAATACCTTGAGGTTGTGCACTATGCTATCACCACAACTCGTATAATTGCACCGAAGTGCTATGTAGAATTGCACCGAAGTGTCGCGTAGAAATGCACTGAAGTGCCATATAAGATGTTCATAAGGACCACATAGAAATTCCTTAAAAATCATATACATATGCCAAAGACCAAGTATGTGTCGCAAAGGACCTCATAAATGTTCCAAAGTATACATTTATGTCTCGAAGAACCACGTATACCCTCGACTCTTGGCATGCCAACTATACCTACAGTTCTCATCTACATAACATGGGCTTTTCACAATTCACATAGTGTATCTTATAGACATATAATTTCTTACCTTTATCAAATGGCTCATGTAATTGTTCATACATATTCATTTAAAGCATGTCACATAATGCATATGGTATGAATTCATATCATGTATCATAATAGGAAATGAATCATGTATTAAGGAATTGAATCTAGACTTATCACAAGTCTAAAGTTTAATATATTATTATAATCATGCTATGCATATGCACTCACCTAGATCTCTTTATCTTTCCCTCGACCGATCTTACTTGCCAACTATTATGTATCTCGTTTAGGCTCAGTATCTACATAAATATAATTCTCAAGACAATTATCAGAAGCCTAAACATTATAACTTGATCCTTAACTATTTAATGAACAAAATTTCCATTTTCCCTTAATTGGTATCGATACCCTTATGTATGATACTGATACTTCCCTTTAGAAGGGTATCGATACCCTGCTGGGGTATCGGTACACAATTTAAATTCGATGTTTACAGGTACCGATATCTCTTGAAGATGTTCTTCAAAATTGGTCTTAGGGTATCGGTACCCATTCATAGGGTATCGATATCCCTTGCCCATAACAGATTACTTCACTCAAAAAATCATCAACACTTCACTAATTTTCCATCTATAAAGCTTCTTTCATACCACCAAGCTCAACTACAATCATTTAAACTATCATTTATCTTCCTAACACCTTACAAACTTAAAAATCTCTTTCAAATTCTTAAAACTAAGAAATTTACTAAGTTTTCCATGTAATCCAAACTTAGTTCTAACATTTCTTATTTCTTGTTCACACCTATGACAAGTCAAATTCAGCTTCCAAATTCAATTAAGTCTTCTTATTCAAATTTTCACTTAAAAACTCCACACCTTTAATACTCCATAACTTGCTATTCTTTGAGTGTTAAACTACTTTAAACCTTCCTTTAGGTTTCCTAATCTTCCAAGAATCTAAAGCATATCTAATTACAAGAATTATTCAACGAAAGGAATTATTACCTTAGCTATCAGCTCACGGGGAAGAAAAGAAGAGAAAGATGAAGAGTAGAGAATTGTCTGGAAAAATGAAATCCCATAACCCCTTTTCTACGTGTTATAAAATCTCACTAAATTTTTTATTTCATTTCCTTTCTAAAAAACTCTTTTGCCCTTCCAGCTTTCCATCCTTTGATATGCATCCTACACAAAAATTTTCAATTAAGTCCTTGTACTTTTCAATTTATCTAATCTGGTTACTGAATTTTAAATTCTCACCCTTTGGTCACTAACTCGGTATTGAAGATGTTACAAATCCGACCCGATCGGATAAGGTCAGAACCCGTCAGATTCGGGTCTCATGCCCATACTTAATGCAGGAAGTTAAACTGATTTTTCATGTTACGTTGCACTGAAGGAGGCCTTTTATTTGGCCATTGGGTAAAATAAAAAAAAATTATTTTATGTCTAAGCCCGGGTTCAAACCGGGGACCTCTAGTGTGTGAACTAGCGTTGATAAACAACTACACCACCCAGACATTCTTGACCTGAACGCTTTAGTCTGGTTTTGAAAGGCAATTCAACACTAGTTGTAGCAAAATATGGCAAAGATGTGCCTTGATGGAGATTTAATACAATGCAAGAAAAAAGTGATGCCAATAGTTTAAAGACAAGTCAGAGTAACATTGAGGATGACACAGTCTCAAACTTTATGTATATGTCTTGTTTATACGGGAATGCATAAGTAAATACTTTTCAAACATAAATAGCATTTTGTTTTCTTGTTAATATGCAACATACCACCTTATGGATACTCCAAAGCCTTGTTAATCAGCAAATACTTGAAAACTGACATAAATATTGTAACATCCTCAATACCGGGTTAGTGATTTAAGTGTAAGATTTTTAAATTCAATGACCAAATTAAATAAATTGAAAAGTGAAGGAATTAATTGAAAGATGTTGGTGTAGGATTAATTAGCAAATGAAGGAAGAGTAAAAGGAGATAATGGTCATTTGCAAGGAAAAATAATTAAAAATTGGGATGGGTTTATATTAACCCACGTGGAAGAGGAAATGAAGGAAAAATTTGTTCCAGAGTTATCTTTCTCTTCGTCTCCTTGTTTTCCTCTTCTTCACGGTGGCTTTGGCTACAAAGGTAAGTTGGATTTTTATAGTTAATTTCTGGAATTTTAAAGAGGGTTTTGATTCTTTGAGTGTTAATTAAGCTTAAAGAAAGCTTAATTTGTTCTAAAACAACAAGATGGAATATATATGTGAGATTAAAGATTAGGGGTTCTTAAATGAAATCTTGAAGTAAAGTTCATAATTATAATTGGAAGTGAAAATTGACTTGTCATCATTCTAATTAAGGAATATGAAGTGTTAGAATTGAATTTAGAACATGTTGAAATTTGAGTATGATTCTTGAATTTCATAAAAATGAGAGGATATTGAGGATAAAGATGGGATAAATGAATATTAGTGAGGCTAAGCATGTGTATATATGTTAGGGATATTAAAGGAGGTGAAATATGAAGATTTGAGTTGAAAATAGAGTGAATTTCGTGCTTAAAGTGGAATTTCTGGGTTGTGTGTCGATGCACTCTCAAATAAATGAACATCGAATGAGATTTGTGTACCGATGCATAGATAGTGCATCGATGCACACGTTAAGGGATGCATCGATACACTGTAGAGTGCATTGATACATACTTTCATTAAGAGAAAAATAGCCTTTCTTTTAGCTTAAGAAGTGATAGTTTAGAATATATTAATTAGTATACTGATATGTATCAATGTATTTCTATGTAGATTTAGAGCGTAATCTTGTTCCGGAATAATCGAAAGATTAGGATCGAATCAAGCAAGCAAGGCTAAGGTGAGTGCACATACTAGATAGAATTGTATGGAGATAAGACTTGGGATAAGTCTATCTCTTATGGTTGAATTTATGATTTCATATTCATGTACATGCATCCATATATATATATTGAATACAATGATTTCATGCATAATTCATTTATGCTTAAATATGATATTATATGAAAGAATGC